TTTTTTTTTTTTTTTTTTTTTTTTTTTTTTTTTTTTTTTTTTTCTCATGTAATCACCTTGTTTTTTCCTTCTTTTAGGGGATTTTGCATTCTTGGGATTGAAGAGACAATAGATATATGTATGTATGTATATATATATATATAGAAAGAAAGAGAGAGAGAGAGAGAGAGAGAGTACCTGAAGAGGAAGCGCATCCATGTCTGCTCTTAGAGCAAAAACAGGCATGGAAGAAGAAAGAGAAGCCCCTGTAATGGAAGCCACCACTCCAGTCTTGGCAACAGGCCACTGGTAACTGATACCAAGCGAGTCAAGCTCAGACCTCACGAGTTGACTCGTTCTGTACTCTTCAAATCCCAGTTCTGGATACTCATGGATTCTCCTTCTAACTCCTTTTATCCACTCCATGAAATCCCCTTCCCTTGCCAAACCCATCAGCTTCTGAGTCAGTGAGTGGAGCTCCGAGCCATCTCCTCCGTGCTCCGCCGCCGACGGCCGCCACAAGGCTACCCCAAATAACAGCATCCAACAAAATAGCTTGAAGACCATGCCGCCGCCTGCCATCTCAAAATCAAAGCCCTCTGATGTGTATTTATGTATATTTGATTGTTGAGTGGCTATAAACTTGTAGTTTTATTATATTGAGATACTTTTTGTCAGCTCTGGTGAATAATTGTTTGGGAACTGTCATTTTTGGATTAGGATTGAGATTGAGAATGACCTCTCTAAAATATCCCAGTATTTATCATCGTTTTAAATGTTCATTTTTCATTCCCTTATTTTCCTCGAGCCAAATTCAATTGTTGCGTCAAATCTTGAATTTCTTCTTTTATTTTGTGGATAAATTCAAATCTTCGTCAACTTCCTTTAGATTTTTTTTCTTTTACTTGTGATTGTGACTCACGAGTTGACATAGAAAATAAATTTTTAAGACAGAGGATGAGAGTAAAAGGGAATATATAACATCGTACCCCCAACTTTAAAGAGATTTATAAATGTTTTATCACTTAACAAGAAACGTCCATTTTTCATGTGAAAAATGTAAAAAATGAAGAAACAATTCCCACGAGCCCATGAGATAAATAGGGACGAGGACTTCACGCACTACCCCTTTCTCCATCCCCACCCTCAATACCTATTTTTCTAATGTATCAATATTATTGTAATAATGTTAACCACGTGATTGAATATTTAGACTATATATTTAAATAAGTTGACACGTAATATTATTTTTATTTTTGTGAGAAATTTTTTTTAAAAAAATTATTTAATGTAATTGATTTTTAAAAAAAGCTAAACAAGAACATCCCCCACACGTTCAAAATGTTTTAAAAATGATCATAGAAGTTGGGCTTAAATTTTGTAGATAAGGAGCAATAGCAGCCAATGTTGACTCTTAATATGAATTTTTCAAATTAAAACTTAAAAATTACAATTATTTATATTTTAGCCTACGTCTTCTAGTGGATGATTTTTAGCCTTTTTATATTATTTTTTAATACGAATTAATTTTGAGTTGTCCGGTCTCGTAGTAATGCGGGCAGCTCCAAAAGCGTGTGGAAGGATGAAGCATTAAAACTCACCGTTTTACTGTGACAATTGAAAACGACGTCACATCATCATCTATCCACCATTTTTATATTTTCCCAAATTTCAACTCACCCCCTCAACTTTTCATTAATTCCAGCACAACCCCACGCTCCTCAAATACTTTACATCACGACCCCCCAATTTTAGTCGAATTATAAATTTTTCCAAATTTGAGTTTTTTCTACGTTTTTTATTTATTAAAAATATTCTTTAATGAAAATACGTCAATCTGCTATTAAGAATAATAAAAATTAAATTAAAAATATTCACGGAGAAGAGGACAGTTTTCTGATAACGGCGGCGGAGAAAGAGCGGTTGGCGGTGCTATAGCCGCCGTCGACGACGAGATTATGCCCGCTTATCACCCTGGATTCATCACTACACAAGTAGAGCGCCGCCTCCGCCACATCCTCCGCCGTCGGAACTACCCCCTTCAAAATCGCCGACGAGCGGATCACCTCTTCCAGCGCCTCCTCCGTGAATCCCAACGCATTTCTCAGTAACGGCGTTGCAATAGCCCCTGGAGATATCGAATTAACCCTAATCCCAAATTCCCCCAATTCCACACACAAATTCCTCATCAATCCCACCACTGCGTGCTTCGACATCGTATAAGCATGCGGCGATTCGCCGCTATTCACCGAAGCAACACTGGAAGTGAAGAGAATCAGGCCGCTTCTTCTTGGAATCATAACCCTAGCCGCATGTTTCGCTCCTAAAAACCCTCCGTACACATTCACCTCGAATACCTTCTTGAAATTCTCCCCATCCGTACCTAAAATCGTCGGATCCATTTCGCCGGTGATTCCGGCATTGTTGTACATTATATCTAGCTTCCCGTACCTCTCGACGGCGAAATCGACAGCGTTCTTCACATCAGAATCGCTCGTCACGTCGCAGTGTAAATACGAAACAGTTTTCTCAGATCCGAGTTCTTGGCAGAGTGATCGGCCGAGATCGTCGAGGACGTCGGCGACGACCACACTGGCGCCGTGTTTAACGAACAACCTGGCGGTGCTCTTGCCAAATCCGCTGGCGGCGCCGGTGATTATGGCAACTTTACCGTTCAACCTGCAAATTGAAGGAAACAGAGGTTCCGTTACTGGGTTTTTCTGTGTTCCAAGGATTGTGGAGGGAAGAGAAATGAAAGAGAGGGAAAGTATATTAACCTCTTGGAAGAACAGGATTCGTCCATTTCTGTGAAGAATTAAATTTCTGGGGATTTGAATTGGGAATCTGCTTCCCCTGGGGCGTTCTGGACTTTCCTAATTCGTCGTGCGTTTATTTATAGATGAACACAGCTCATTACTTCTCAATTTTTATTATATTAATTACTACTTTCTTTCTTTATTGGTATTATATGCCTAAAAATTTGAATTTCAATATTTAATTTTTTTTTCATTAGTTTTTGGATAAAAGTTTGTTTAAAAAATATTTTTAAATGGTTTGAAAAATCATTTTAAAATTTCAAAATTTTCATTACTATTCTTTTAAATTTTATTTATACTATTAAACTTTTTTAAAATATATTTAAAAATATTTTTACATGTAAAAAAAAAAAAAATTATTAGTATACAAATGGAACTGTTTATTTACACTCACCTCGTTTCTTTCTTTGATTTTTCGATCTATAATTCATTAAATCTATTTTTTCTCGTTTCTTAAATATCTTCTTAATCTCATTTTTATTTTTTAATTTTAAATATTATAACTTTGAATAAAAATGAGAAATTCTTTCATTTTTTAGCATTCCAAATATAAATATAAAAATCTTCAACGGTAAATAGTCAAGTTTTTTAACGTACATATAATACACATTAAGATTTTATTTATATGAATTTATGAATTTTATTTATATATAATACACGTGGCCAGCTGGTCTTTTATGAAAGCATTTATTTTTGGAAATTGATAGCCCACATGTAGTAGTTGAATATATATATATATTAAATTATAAAAAAATTATTTCATAATGGATTAAGAAAAATAATTATTTTGCAAAAAAAAAAAACAGTGGTAAAAATGTAGACCTCGACCAATACGTTCTTAGGTCAAATGAAAAAGGGAAAAAAGGGAAAAAAAACGTACCTAGATAAACAACAATAGTAAAGAATATCTCGAATGCATGAAATTTTTCAAATAGACAAACGGCGATAAAAGTATGTTACATACCTTGTAAAAGTGGTAAAAACAATAGAAGAATATAGAAAGACAAGTAAATCAATAAAATTTCGGTCTTGTTTGACGGTTTAATTTTGAATGGAAACATCAAAGAGCTTGAAATAGATTTATTTATTGCAATAACCATTTTTTAAATTCCTCTTTTAAAAAATTAGCTATTTCTCTAATTGGGCTTTTTATACTTTGGGCCGCTAGAACAAAACACTTTTGGGCTTAATAAAGAAAACCATCATGAGGCCCAAAATATATGGGCTGTAGAATGGGCCACATTCGATCACTTCATATAGGCTTTTGCATGCGTATTGGGCTTGGGCCCAAGTGGTTCGGAGTGAGCATTTAAGCATTGATGATATGTCTCAACTTAACATTTTAACCCTTAAAATTTAAGAAAATAATTAAATTCGCCATTGTAACAAGGTTTTAGCTATCAAAAGGTTGATGTCACATTTTTAATAATATTATTTATTTTTCTTTATTTTTAGTTATAAATAAATATTCTATATATATATATATATATATATATATATATATATATATATATATATATATATTATTTTATAATAAGCTTTGAATGAACTTGAAACAAGGAGTGAATAAAACAAAAATGGAAAGAAATAATAACAGCAAATATATTAATTAGGTAAGATTTTATAACTCATAATAAAAGGATGGTGTAAATATAAATTATAGAGAGGCCACAATTTCCAAAAATAAAATAAATACAAATTTAATTTGGAAAAATAAAAAAGAATAATAATTGTCCAAATATTACGGCTTATAAATAATAATAAAAATAAAATGGCACACGAGGCGCGCGCGTTAGTTAATAAATAATAAATTCATCTTTATATATTTGAAGCTGTTATAACTAATTCATCATGTCATTTCATACCAACATCCATTCATTCAAGTCGTAATAATAGTTAGTCTTGAATTATGTTTTATATTACTATATCAAAAACTTTATCATAAATGTGGAGCCTAATACGAGAGTAATGGTTTCATGATCTTATGTGAGATCTCACATCGATTCGGGAAAAAAACGAAACACTTTTTTATAAGAGTGTGAAAACTTCTCCCGAGCTTACGCATTTTAAAAATCTTGAGGAGAAACTTGAAAGGGAAAGTCCGAAGAGGACAATATGTGCTAGCGGTGGGCTTGGGCTTTTATAAATAGTATCAAAACCAGACACCGGATGATGTGCCAGCGAGAAGGCTGAGCTCCGAAAGGGGGAGGGGGGGTGGAGATGAGGTAGTGTGCCAGTAAGGACGCTGGTCCCCAAAAGGGGTGGATTAGGGGTCCCACATCGATTGGATAAAGAAATGAATGCTAGTGAAGACGCTGGGACCCGAAGAGAAGTGGACTGTGAGATCCCACATCGGTTGAGGAGGAGAATGAAGTTTTATTTATAAGGGTGTTGAAACATCTCTTTAACAGACGCGTTTTAAAAACCTTGAGGGAAAGCTCGAAAGGGAAAGCCCAAAAAAGATAATATCAGGTAACGTGGGCTTGGGCTGTTACATCTAGTCTAATCTAAATTTGTTGACGTGTTTTAATAGCTTTAAGGGGAAGTCCATAAGCGAAAGCTCAAATATGACAATATCTGCTAGAGATGAATTTTGACTATTACATCTTAGCTGATCTGTTCTGCAAGAATAATGTGACCTGCTAAAGAAAAGAAACAAGCGTGTGCTGGTGCGCACATTTATCCTTTTAGTTGAGAGACTCGTCTCACCTTAGCCACTCTAGTCCTAGTCAATCAATTATGTTCGGAGTGTTAACGAGCATGGTTAAAAATGGGTGAGCTTCATATTCATTCTATGTGAACCCCATTGAATGACCTAGAACACATTAATGTTTGATTTTTTAAAAATTTATTAAGAAAAAAAAAAAGGTGTTGAGGGAAATAAAAGGGAATTGAATGGAGGGCATAGTTGTCAGTGGAAAGTACAAGATATTCATGCACTCGACAAATAAACATCCTTTTACTTTTACTATGTGATATGATGTGATCCTTGTTGGCCCTTTTTCTCATATTTCCTTTTAAAAAAAATAGCATATAACATTATTAAATTTTTATCGATATTTTATTGACCGTTTGATCCGTCACGTATCACTCTCAGTCTCACGATTTTAAAACGCGTCTATTAGGGAGAAGTTTCCACACTCTTATAAAATATATTTTGTTCTCCCTCTTCAACCAACGTGGAATCTCACAATTCACCACCATCGGAGTCCAACTTCCTTGCTGACATTAGTCAAAGTAGGTTTACACCCTCTCTATAGTAGACGCGTTTTAAAATCGCGAGACTACCGAGAATACGTAACAGACAAAAAGAACAATGTTTGCTAACAGTTACAGTGATGAAACCACGTTGAATTATATGTTAATTTAAATATTTTTTTAAATAATTTTTGAATTTATTTGTAAATATGAATATATTTTTATATACATTTTGTTTGGACAACGACATTTAAACATTATTACATCTAAATGTAAAATATTTAAGGAAGGAATAAATATGGCGTTGAGGTTATGTTTTTATGTACGCTGCTTTTGGGGCGTCCTTCCCATTCATATGTTTGGGTTTCTAAACTGAACTAAATTCAATAACCTATTTAATACGTGCACCTTCCCCTCTTTATTATCATTAAATTAAATTACAAGCGTATCATATTATGATACCAAATTAAAAGTTTAAATATTTATTATATAATTTTTTTAAATTAGATATAGGTTAGGTTACAAAAATCATATGGTTCGAATCAAAATTTCATATGGGTGGGATTGATGACCCGAACAACTAAAGAGAGTTCACCACCCAACCTATATATTTTCGGGTTAGATTGGGTTATCTGGTTATTGTTTTAATTATTTAAAAAAATTATATTTATCTATAATACATGTTACACTCATAACTATATTTTTGGGTTGGTCGGGTTGACGGAACTAAAAATGTCAAGTGAATAGAATTTTTTTTAAAATTAATATTTTAATTTTTTTTTTTAAACAAGAGACAAAAAGAAAAAAGAAAAAAAAAATGTTTTTAACCGTTGTACAATGGAGTGAGTTAAATTTAATTCAAAATTTTGAACGGGAAACTGTTAGCCTCAACTGTTGAGAGGTTTTATTTATTTATTTATTTATTTAAATAAATGTATATTTGTGGCTAATTGTGAATGCACCTTGGTTCCCACGATGACTATGGCTACTTTTGGAAACGACTTTATTGAATTTAATTTATATTTTTACCATGTGTCAAACACGTTTTACTTTATAAAATGAAAGTTTTTTATTTTATTTTTTTAAAAAAAATTATTATATTTTGAAAATCAAAACAACAAATTCTTAAATAAAATTGTCCAAATGGAATAAATGTATGAGTTTGTTTTATAATGCGATTCATGCCCAAAGGTCGGCCGAAGTTCAGTATAGACTCGATTAAAGTCAAAGTTTGACCTATTTAATTAATTTAACCTATTTATTCATTTGGTCGTATACGACTCACTATTTTGAAAATTGGGTAGATTCATCGTATTATCGAGTCAGTCTAAAAAGGATTATTAAGTCAACTTAAATATGTTTATCATATTTTTTATATATTATATTTTATAAATTTGAAAAAAATGTATAGATAACAAAATTTTAAATTATGCTAAAAATTAATAAATTTGTATAATATCAATTATAACTTTGTCAATTATAAATTATAAAAATTTAAAATTTAAAAATAAATTCAATAAGAATAGAAATTTCATAATCTCGTAATATTTCATTGAGAAAATTCGTTATATTTTGTTTCGTTACGTATTATCATCAGCCTCATGGTTTATTAGGGAGAAGTTTCCACACTCTTGAATGATTTTTTGTTCATCTCTCTAGTGGATGCGAGATCTCAACCCATCCTTTTTGGGCTCACTGTCTGACTCTGATACCATTTGTAATAGTCAAAACACACCGCTAGTAGATATTGTCTGTTTTGACCTATTACATATTGTCGTCAGCCTCACGGTTTTAAAACACATCAACTAGGGAGAGAAGTTTCCACATTCTCATAAAGAATGATTCGTTCATCTCTCCAACCGATGTGGGATCTCATAATCCACCATTTTAGGGCCCAGTGTCTAACCCTGATACCATTTGTAACCGTCAAAACCTACAACTAGTAGATATTTTCCGTTTTGACCTATTACGTATTGCCATCAGCCTCACGGTTTTAAAACTACATTTACTACGGAGACGTTTCCACACTATCGTAAGGAATGATTGATTCCCCTCTCCAACCGATGCGAGATCTCACAAATCCACTACCTTTAAGGTCCAACGTCTTCGCTGGCACCCCACCCGGCTAACCGATATTGTTCGAAGGTTGGGTGGAACGAAGGTAAACCGAAAGAGAGTTAAAATTGGGTAGAGTTGAACTTAGGTGGAAAGATTTGAAACAGAAATATTGAATGCAAAATAATTATATTTAGGGGGTGGTTGTTTAATTGTGGGGGAAAAAAAACCGTTGCAAGAAAAAAGAAATATAAATAATATGGTTGGATATAAATAAATACGAGCTTATCGTTTGAAAAATAATAAAATGGAATAATGATAAATTACTCCAACTAGCCTTCCCCTCTTGGTGGCTCCCATTTAAAGCTCCCAATTAAATCCCATTAAACTCAAACCACCTTACAATTTATTGTATTAACCAAATTTCCACTTCTTCCATTAATTTCTTTTTCTTCATTTTTCTCTCTCCCCCATATTTCATTCCTTTTTTTTTTAATTATTTTAAAACTAATTATAATTTAGTACAAATATATGCATAGTACTAACTCTAGATTTAGAGAGATTTGGTCAGTCTGACCACTTTAATGTTATATACTTTATAAATATTTTATGTATTTCATCAAATTATTTTTAATATATAGTTTTCATGTGAATAATTTTAAATCTTAATAAATAAATAAATAAATAAATAAATAGTTGTTAAAATAATAATTAAATGAAAATTAAAGAAGAATGGCATTGCATGGGCTGACAGGGAGATGTCAAAGGGCAGTGGGGGAACTTAATATTTAGGTTTAATTTAGGGGTTGCTGGCAGGTTCTTATCAGTGTCATGAAGTTAATAACCCGAAGTTGATGCCGCGAGGCTTAAATACTGTGCGCTTTACCCTACAATTAATAACTTTTTTTTTATTATTTATTTAATTTGTAAGCTTAAGGATATGGCTCATGGTCGAGACCTCGATTAGGTGAAGATAAAGATAAGTATATAGTGTTTTCGAGCAATTAGCCTTCTTTTCTTTAAGATATGCACGAAGCATTTACGCAAATGGTCGAACACGACTCGTAATCTAAGATAGACAGTTTTAACCTATTATTTGTTAGATACGTCTAAATAAGTTATTTGCATATATTACATGATATCAACCGCGCAATTTCTACCTACTATTATATTTATTAAATTATTATATATATATATATATATATATATATATATATATATATATATATATATATATATATATATATATATTATCTTTTTATTTTCTCTTTATATTTAGGTCTCAACAACACAAACTAACTAAGTTGGCTTACATTCATTCTCATTCATTAGTAACACATGCATGAAAAAGCCCTAAAAACTTTGGTATATAATAATAATAATAATAATAATAATAATAATAATAATAATAATAATAGAATTGTTATGAAATTTAAAAATTGAGTATGGGTGCCCAAAATAACCCTCATAGTGAAAGAAATTGAAGATCTGTCTAGATAGGGTAAAAAGGGCCAGAAATGATATTATTGCAAACCTATTGCCAAATTTTGCAATTAAAAAAATAAATGAATCAATTTAAAAAAAAAAAAAAAATCTCAATAAAGTAAACGAACATTTAACAAGTTGTTCTTCCCCATGCAGTTGATTTAGTGCTACAAATTAATTTTCCCATGTACCGTTGTGTTTAAATATTTTGGGAGCCGTTGATGGGGTTTTTAATTCTAGTTTAGCTGTTACAATTGATTTATATGGATATATAATTAATTACTTTTATCTCTCCTTTTTCTTATTAAATTACAATTTTATCCCTGCATGACATCCTACGTAAATATTAATTTAAAATAATTTTATAAAATAATGTCATGAACTTATACATTTGCATAAAATTCTTAAAATAAAAGAAGAGAAATTAAAAAAAAAAAAAACAATACTCTATTTTGACCTACTAAATAAATGTAATTACCGACGCAGATTTCATGATCTTTATTGTGACGCTGCTATCAATGGTTACGGTTACGGTGGTGTTTTGACTTTACTAGTAAAAAATAAATAAATAAAATAAAAGTTAATTTTTATTTAACTTTTGAAAAAATTAATTGGTTTATAAATAATTTAGCTAAGAGGCTCTCTCTCTCTCTTCATATGTTTGCTCACCTTACTCTAACATGGAACATGGAGTGGAGGAGCTTAATTAATTTGAATTGAATACAAGAAAAGGCAAAGTAATTATTTTATTTATTTTCTTCTTCTAATTTATATACAATACAAGCCTCATTTTGAAATACGCAATTTAGTAAGGACTAAAAAGCAAACCCCAGACGAATTCTTGGCCTTATAAATAAGCCCCTCTTACAGGCCCCAACTCAACTCCCCTGCAATCCCAAGCTCTGTTTTTTCAAATTTCCTCTGTTTATTTTTTTTATTTTCAGGTGAATTAATTTCTTTTTTTTTTTTGCTTATTTGCATGTGAAGATTCCATTCCAAAATAACCCATTTTTGTTTTGGTTTTAGATTTGTGGAGATTAGAAGAGAAGATGAACCGGAGAAACAGTGGCGGCGGAGGAGGAGCAGCAGCAGCGCCGAAGCTGGAGCTGAAGTTGAACCTGTCTCCGCCGAGGGCGAATAGAGGAGTGGAGTCACCGAGCCGGTCGGCTACGGTGTCGCCGACGTCGCCGCCGAGCTCGTGTGTGTCGTCGGAGGAGGAGATGACGGTGGGGAGAGTGAGATACTCGAGCAGCCCTGAAGCGACATCGATGATGCTGGTCGGATGCCCACGGTGTCTGATGTATGTTATGCTGTCGGAAGAAGACCCAAAATGTCCGAAATGCAAAAGCACTGTTCTTCTCGACGTTCTCCATGATAACTCCGCCGTCAAAACCAGAAGAAACTAGAAACAGAGACCAAGAACATCAAATTCTACAAGTCCAGAGATATTTTCTTTTTCTTTTTTTCTTTTTTTGGGAATTTTAGAGTGAAGCTTAGTTTTACTCTGTTGATAGGACAGTAGAATTGTAGAAGATGAAGAATCTTAGTTTTTTTTTTTTTTTTTTTTTTTTTTTTTTTTTTTTTTTTTTTTTTTTTTTTTTTTTTTTTTNGTTGATAGGACAGTAGAATTGTAGAAGATGAAGAATCTTAGTTTTTTTTTTTTTTTTTTTTTTAATTTTTAATTTTGGGTTGAAGAAGAATATTTAGGGACCAGATTTTTCTGTCCCTTTTAGCACAGGACTATGTAACCAGCGGTTAACTGCGAGTGCCCAAATGTTTCATGTTTTTTCCTTTTTTCCTTTTTTTTATTTTTAACTTATTATATTGAATTTACTTCATTTCATTATATTTAAAAGTAGTTTATTAAAAATATTACATGGCAAGGAACTTTATTTAATTAAATATTAAATGATAAAGTCATCTATCATTTATTTTTTACCATATTTAAAATTTCCAATTTTTAAAATTTTTATTAAACATAAAATAAATAAAAAAATAGGGATAACTAATTTCCAATTTGTATAAGAATTTTCTTTTTTTACAAAATATTGAGTATTAAAAATTCTCGGTGGTCCCTCAAATGGGACCAGACATGCATAGCATATAGTATGAACGTCGAGGGGCCATTACAAGTGTTGTACTAAGAAATGCATCATCCAAGCTACAATTGTGTAAAGAGTAAGATACTTGTACCGTCATCTACATGTTCCTTAAGGATAATGGCGTCGAGTTGCTAACCAAAGAAGATGAAGAACGGGACTATATAGCTCACTTTTAAATTTGTAAAAAGAAATCAATGCATAATTAAGTTATTTAGGATGATGAGCTAATTAAAATCTTGATTTTTTAAATTAAAAAATTTATTGTTTCAACTTTATCTCCATAAACATAATATAATCGAGTTAATCTTCTATTAGACATTAATTTTGAGTTAATCTTCAATTAGACATTAAATTTATCTAAATTATGTTTAAAAATAATAATTATAAAAACAAAACATTAGTACATAAGATTAACCGGAAAAAAAAAAAAAAAAAAAAAGAAGCGTGGGGACATTAGAGGTGGGCCCAACGGAAAGAGTTGCAGTGGGGCCCAGTAGTTGAATGAAATGGCAGTGGGACCCACACATGATGGCATGGCACGCTCCAATTGGGGGGTGACTAATAAATAAACAACGTAAAAGAAGGTAGGTGATTTAAACATTCCATTAAATCATGTGCAGTGCATGAATTCTTTTGGGCGATAAATTAAATAAATTTTCAACTAACGAAAAGTTTCAAACAACATTAATTAAATGAGCCACATGAAAAACAGATTAAAAAAATAAAAAAAAACATATATTCATATTTTTATATTTTATTCCCAAAATTCATTTTTTAAAAATATTTTTTATTTTAATTATGATTTTTTCAAGTACTTTTATTCCATTTATACACTTTTATTAAATAAAAAATAATTTTAGTATAAAGGGTACATTTCATATCTTATCAAAATTTAATTTATTTGTTTCATATTTAAATTATTACTACTAAACGTATTCAAACATATAATTACTTTGGTGAAACCCTGATCGAACTTATCGTAAATATTTTCTAATATATATATTATTAGAGAGGGAGTGGTTCGAGCATTGAAGAAAAGAGAGGGAGTTATAATGTAATGGAAGGGGAAGAACATAAATGCAAGAGTAATTGAGGGGGTTGGGAATAATGAAACCAAGCCAAGGATATAAAGGGTATTACGTCAATATGATCAAATCCAAATTTAATTCCATTTTTACTATTTTTGTCCAACTATTTTTTTCACCAAAATTACTGATAATTGGTTCTCCTTGTTGAGACGGCGCAATAGTTGACGGGACATTTAAGAATAAAATATTGTTTTTTGATACCAAATGAGACAAACTCTAAATTCTAGATATGGTAATCTCAAAATAATGAGGGGTTTGTTGGATGAAAGTCCCACATCGACTAATTTAGGGAATGATCGTGGATTTATAATTGAGGAATATTATCTGTATTGGTATAAGACGAAAGTACAAAACAAGAGAGCATAAGTCGTGAGAGTCATGTCCAGTCAAATCTCATATTAGAGTTTCAAAATTGAATTTATATATATATATATATATATATATATATATATATATATATATATATATATTTTTTTTTTTTTTGTTTGGAATTAGATTAAAAATTTAAGTCATTTGGTAATAAAAAATCTATTAATAAAATATTTAAAAAAATTAACTGGTTATTAATCCAAAATTTTAATTAGATTTAATGAAAATGCATATAAATGTTCCTTTAAAAAAAATTTAACGCCAACTCAAGTGTTTTCTCCGATTCGAGGCGATGTTCGACTCTGAATTCCCGCCGCCGTTGCCGGTTCAGTTCACAGTATCTCGATTCGTTTAGTTTTACAATCTGGAGTCCAAGTTTGAGTTGAACCATTCATCATAGAAGACTTTCCGCAGGTTTCTATGGATTCCGAATCTCCTGGCAGATCCTAATATTCGGCGAACTCAACTGGAGATCAGGTACACGTTTTAATAGCTAATTTTGACTGGATCAAGTTGATCCAGGTTGGACTTACGCTCGCTGATTAGGAAGGTAATCTTCCGGATTTGGGCACGGACAAGTTCTACAGGTGGGAGTTTAATTTTAGGGATTTACTAAATTATGTGAGGGTGTTCTTGGTGCCTATGGTTTCTCGATGAGATTCTTCCCCGATTAGCACGGCGGCGTTAACAGGGAAGTGTACTTGAACAATACTAATCTTGATAAGTATGCTGCTGGTATTTTGTATTGTTTAGAGCATTTGTCTACAGCTAGAAATTTTTCATTTTAACAGTACATATCTTCCTGAGCGATGACTTGTACGCATCATTCCTATCAATTCCATTTTAGTTATGAACTCACGATTGTCTTCCTGAGCGACAATTTGCATTCAGTTGGCTGATATTTATTTTTTTCAACCACCCAGTTGCTCCTAAATCTGTCGAAATATAAATGTTTGAAGGGTATTGATCATTGATAGGGTAATGGAGGTTGTGAGATTGTAGGTAATATCGAGGCATTGGATTTAATGTGGCCTAGCTAGGGCATTGGAGTTATACCCTGGTCTTAACGGTTGCAATTTTTTTTCTCTTTTGAGTTAGAAGATGATATTTGGGGTGATTAAGACGAGGAAAACATTTGGGGCGTTGGATTACAGCACCCTAAATTCTGAAAGCTGACCTAATGCATCACAAGGCTGGTGGCCAAGTATAGTGATAGGCCTCCAATCACAAAAGTTTACAAGTGTAGGCATGTGAAGGGGCGGGCGTGAAGGCTAGTTTGCTTTGTAGAGCGGGGCCTGTAATTTTCTTTTGGTAGTTAGAATGAGGGTTACGTAAGGGAGGGCTATTATAGAGGGAGCGTTTGTGAGAGGAGGGTATCTTTTTTCTGCATTTTTCGGCTTGAACATTCTCTTTAGTGAATCTGGGAGAGGTGGGAAACTCCCAAATCTCTCCTTTGTTCCTTGTTGATAATTAAATTGTTGGCTTAGGCCTAACATTTAGGTCTATGCATTTGTCAACTTTCGTTCTTGAAGTAAACTCCTGATTTTTTGCTTGATATTTTGGTTTGCTATTAACTATTAGCTCTTCTAGTATCCTTAGTCATTCGTTCCTAAATTGTATTATTAGGTCAAATCTCTCCTTTGTTCCTTGTTGATAATTAAATTGTTTGGAGAAAGTTAGAATTCATCCCAAACCATAGGGACCAAATTTGTACTTTAACCTTTAAAGAATTTGGTTTTAGATGAAATTTGTAGCTGTTGGGGTATAAAAATTGGATCTGGTGCACTGCTAGTAGGAAAAAGGAGAATAAAACAGGGGAGTTTTGTATAGTATGTTTGTTACAATCCCTTAGTATGTTCTTAATGTTTCTAGCATCTTTTACATTGAAGATTTAAATTGTACCCCATAGAGACTAATGTAACCTTTGGCATAAAGTATCTGCAATCAGACATGGTGACAATTCTTTTGGATTATTACTGCAACAACCTTCTCAGAACACTAGGACCTCCTGATTTTGTATCACTAAATCTAATTGTTTGTTTTATCCATTCTAGCCTATCCTCTGAAATCTGGAAATGATACGAGGGTTAAACTTCAAGGTCCCTTGATGATGCTCCTTTGAATTTCAAGTCTGCATATCCTTGCCATCAACTCTTTTTTTCCTTGAGTCGAACAAATGAAGGGGTTTAAGCCTTCAACTCCAAGAGAAGAAGTAAATGCCTTTTAACATTTTCATCAGCAATATTTTAAAAATTGTGATGTTGAGATTTGAGAATGACCGTTGGAATCTCCGTTCTAGAAGTGACAATAGATGGAGGTGAGTTTTTTGTGTGTTTCTACTCTTTTATATAGTTATTATTTTTAATGATAGATGATTTTACTTTCTTCTGTCATTATCGATATTCTTTTATATAGGTTGAGGCTTATGGCTTGTATGCCTAACCCCGTTGGAAGGAGATCTTGATGCAAACTTTAGTTTGAAAATGTTGGTCATGGATGGCATCCAATGCTTAGAAGAATCCTCAGTGACAGGAAACTTTGGCATCAGCTTCTTGTAGACTTGTGATAGAACCCAAATGTATTGATAGGATTGCTGTTAGGGTAGGATTACAAACATGGCTAGGGAATTGAAGGTATATTAGTAATTAGCTAAGGAAGTTGTTAGGGTGGTTTGTTATAAATAGGGTGCGGGGAAAGGGTAGACAATTGTTTAGTTGGTCGAGGACTTGAGTGATCTCAAGAACGAGAGGGTCCAAGTACCTCGAATGCTTGGAGGGTTATATTGTATTTCCATTATATTTTATATTTCAAAACATTTAGGTTCTATCAACTTTCTAGAATTCTTGTTACCAAAATAAATGATTGGAGAATATCATTAGTGAAGTAATTAATATTGCATCTCTACGTGGGCGCATCCGACAGTTTAATTTTTTCTCCCTAAATTCCTCGTTTTCTCTCTCAACATTTATTGGGCTATTTTGTTTGCAATTTTTATGAGGCAGATATGGATAAGTATCATTGTATATGCATTTCAAAACAGCAAGCATAGGAACTTACTGCTGGAAATGATCTGTAAATTGATTCTACTTTGAAATACTGGCAACTCTGAAGTCCTTTGAGTTGAGTTCATACAACTGTGATTTGGGTTCGAATTTACAAACTAGTTTTTGTGGATCTCTGTAGGCTTAGCTTTCTGGTTATGAAAGTCTACCTAAGGATGTTGAATGTGCCTTTTGAGGTTGACAGATCGTTTCTGATTTTTCAGCATCCTTCTGGGCAGCAGAGTCATTATGGTTTTTTGGGCTAAAGAAGTGATAGGCCCCAAATTACTAGGGTGTATGATCGTAAGCGTTGTGAGGAAGGAGGGAACTGTATGAGGGGTTGTTTTCATGTAGGTGTGGAGCCCAAAGAGTTTATTAGTGCGTGTTGAGGCCTTGAGGGAGAATGGAAATTAATAGGCGAGATTTTGGTTAATTGCCGAATCACATCTTCCTCACCTCTATTTTTCTTAAAAGAAACAGTTTTGGTTAAAATACCATTTTGTACCTTGGGTTTTATTCCATTTTAGCTTCTTTACTTTTAACTGACCAAATTTAGCATATGTACTTTTGATAAATCCTAAACTAGTTCATGCTATTAGTTTGGTCAACTTTCTTTTATAAGAAAAACAGTCTCATTTGGCTTTCTATCTATAAATTTTGTAAACATATTCACATTGTGTTTCTCTGGCATGAAAGTTATTATTATTATTATTATTTAACCAATTTCAATAAAAATTATCTTCATGTATTTAATTGTTGGAGCTTCTTGTTCAATCGCTCTGGTTGTTCAACCTATGCCTAGAGGATGGCCTTCTGTATCGAAGCATCCGTCTTAATTAATGCCAGTTGGAGAAATTTTTGGTGTCCTACTAAGTATATTCCCTTGTGCTGGTATTTATGCCTCGAGTTCTTTTATTCCTCTCTTCTTGTAATTATAGTAGAGTTATGTTCCAACGAAAGAAAAGAATGATTGTGATTTTTCATCTCATGTTCCAGATGAGTATAGTCCGGTTGTTCTCTGATTATTATTTGGATTGTGGATGGTAAATTTTCTATGTTACTGCTAGTTTATGATCGATCGGGCTTCAGTTTAATTGTGTTTTATGACTTTGACTCTTTTGTGCCAGTTCTCAGCTTCTTGTACGTAGATGATATCAATGAATGAAGGTGTTATTTTCTACGGCATTTCGTCATCACGCTTGTTATTTCACAGGTTCCTTCCTCTGTCTCTTTTCTCCTATATTTGATAGTAAGGATAATTGGTTTTTCAATTTTTTGCTATACGTAGCATAATAGTAATTGATATGTACATTTATACCACAATACGTAGCATAAGTAGCATAATAGCAATTGATAATAATTAGATAAATACGTTGCACTGTTACTTTTATACCACAATAATTCAAGGTACAGTGTTACTAATTATTTGTAATACTCATTGACAGTCATCTGTGATAATTATTTTTATGAATCTTGTTGTTTCTTGTTATGAATACATAGAAGTCTTATATCAATCTGTCACTTCTGTAATGGGTCCTACATTTTAAGATAAGTATAAACTGAGTTGTTATTGGTCCTACCCTACTTTTTTTTTCTTCTTATATTGCTTTCTCTAGTTTAATCCTCCATTATTAGGAAATTATATAACAGAGATGATCTTAGAGCTACCTGATCTTAGAGGAAGTGCTTATATTTTAGAGCATACTTTCCTTTTGTTTTGTGTACGTATGGGAAGAATAGTGTAGAAAAATAGAATATCTGAATGCATAATGGCTATACATTTGGATGCATTGAATACCAAATGTATATTTATATTGAAAAACATGGCCCCTATCTGTCTGTGTATGTCTCACAAAACCCAAAAGAATACAAAAAGAAGGTAATAGAGAAGGGAAATGAGTGAAAAATGAAAGAGAGGAGATTGTGGGACATGAAGCCATGCTGTGTAGTTTGTTTGGTTGCTCTCATGGCAAACTGAATAGCCAATTGGAGTTGTGACCCTAAACCATCCATGTGCATCTTTGGACCACCTCCTCACCACACTAATCTTTTTTGGTCCCCTAACCCCACCTTCCTTTATTTATTTTTTTTATATTCTTTTTCTTAGTAACTCGGTTTCGAGACCCCAATCCTTCTATAAGAGTCTAAGCATACCACCAGCAAATATTGTTCGTTTTAGCCTGTTATCGCCGTTAGCTTCACGATTATAAATGTTTTATTCTCCTTTCCAATCGATGTGGGATCTCACAATCTACTTCTCTTGGAGACCCAACATTCTTGTTGGCACACCGCCCAGTGTCAGCTCTGTTACCAAGTGTAACAATCCAAGCTCACAGCTAGCATGTATCGTTTGCTTTAGCCATTACATATCGCCATCAATTTTGTGGTTTTAAAATGCATTTTTTAAGGAGAGGTTTCCACATCCGTATATCGTTCTCCTCTCCAATCCGTATATCGTTCTCCTCTCCAATTAATGTGGGATCTCACACCATCTCACCTCTTATTAGCGTAAGAGGTTCCACTTGTCTCGAGAGAGTACAAGAATCTTACATTTAATTTATGGATTTGAACGTAGAACCTTGTATCTAGAAAATGGAAACATCTAATTTCTACTGGTTGGACACTTTTAGTAGGCCCAACCCGAATGGATCAGAGAAGGTTGTTATTTTCATTGTTTTTTTTTAATGGAGGTGGAATCGAACCGCATAAAGAAATTTTAGATCAACTTAGAAATGTCAATGATGCAAGGCAAGGATGGAGACATGGATGCATGTTCCCAATGAAGGTGGAACCGATCCATTAAAGAAATCTAGTTCAAGTTAGGGATGATAATGATGCAGCTTACAGGTGAAGGCAAGGTTGCATTTCACATACCCATCCTTATTAAGGATTGTTAATCTTCCTCCTTGCCTCGTTCCCTGATTTGAGATTTGAGGAATCAAAATATTAGTTTCGAATAAAATATTAATTAGTTATTAACAAATAGGTTAGAAACACGTCGACGGCCGTTTTTGTCATGCATGTTACATAGTTGATAATCTATGCATCATACAGTTTGGTGTTTCGGGTTTGTTTAGATTGAAATTAAGAAAGACCAACCCTCTTTCGAGTCAATTTTGTGCATGAGAGTTCGTATACAGTAGAGGAGGAGATCAAACTATTGGTATTTAGAATGATAACGAGTATCTTATCCACTAAGTAATGCTCGAATCAACCTGATATTGTTTGATTGTCTCTTTCTTTTTATATTATTTTTTAATATCGAAAAGTGAGACTCATTTGCGGAAAAAAAGTTAAACTCCTTCCAACTCCAAAATAAATAGATGAAAGATGACATAGAGGTTAGGACCACTACCAGCTTGCATATGTCAACATCAAACACTCCAAACTTCCAACCTTAACCTAAATTTAACCAAACACAACCAACATTATCTTCTACCTTCTTCATATATATATATATTTTAAAAAAGATAAATCTATAAACTCGGAATCTGCCCAGACAACTTTGGTCGGATGAGGAGTTCATGTTCGAGAGAGTAACATTTACCTTTTTATTGTAAACGAATCTTTTAGTATACTTAATTTTCAAAAATAAAAAATTAAGCTCATATTCTATCGTGCTCTAAATTTCTTGGATTTAGATTTCATATTGATCTCTTAGCTGTAACCGTACGAACTTTGTAATGCCTAAGTCAAACACTTCTCCCCATCTTTTTTGTTTTTTTTTTAATAATGATTTTGCATTAGAAAATACACATGATATTGAATTGTAAAGTTAAAAAAATAAAAAACCAAACAAAATTTCCTATGGTCTCTGTCCAGTCTGTGTGTAAGCTGTCTCCCTTCCACAGCTCTCTCTGACTCCTCCATTAATGCCAAACAAAGAATTCATCTTTCCCTCATTATTTGAACCCCACGAAAAAAGAAGCAAGAAAATGGCCAACAAAGTGAAAAAGCTTCCTAATTTTCTCAATAAATCCCCATGGCTATGGCGTTCCTGCTCCCAATCCAGAACCCTCTCTTTTCGCACCTCTAACGACATCTTCAGAACCATCAACTCAGCCTACCAAGAACAAGAAGAAGAGGAAGAAAACCCAGCAGCCGACATGTCGGATGATGATGACCAAATTGAGGCCTTAGTGAGAGGGCTAAGGCTAAGGCAGGGGAAGCGGCTGTTTTTGGAGCTGGAAGAGACTAATTCCATAATGGCGGTGGCGGCGGCCGTGGCTGTGGGCGGAAACAACCAGGTTCCATTCAAGGAGAGTGTGGCAATGGCAATGGATTCAAAGGAGCCATATTTGGACTTCAAGAAGTCAATGGAGGTGATGGTGGAAGCTCATGGATTGAAGGATTGGAAAGGCATGGAAATGCTTCTGAGTTGGTATTTGAAGGCTAATGGAAAGCCTAATCATGACCTCATTATTGGAGCCTTTGTGGATTTATTGGTTGATCTTGCTTTTGCTTCCTCCTCCTCCTCCTCTTCTTCCTCCTCTCTTCTATACTCTTCTTCTTCGTGTTCTTCGTGTTCTACCATATCGTCAAACTCCATTGAAATTATGGACGATATTGTCGAGTCAGAGTGTAGTACTTCTTCCTCAACTCCTGCTACTATTCCTTGTCTATCTTCTTTGTTCGAAGAGGAGGAAGAAGATTTTTAATTAGTCAACTACGTTAATGATATCGATAATATCCTTTTCGATATACCTACTTTTATTTTTTATTATTATCTAATTAATTTCTTTAATTTGATGTAAAATATAACTTTATGAACCTTATTCAATTCAACTTAGAGGTAAAAATAAAATTTTTGAAAGGGGTTTGTCGGGGGGCAATCGATCAGGTGCACACACATGTAGAACGGGTAATTGGATAAGCGAGATCGAGCGGTCCACGTGGAAAGAACCTAAAGATGAACCAATGAGAGGCAATGGAGTTTTTTAAAAAAGGTGGTCATTATCAAAAGACAGAAAGCAATAGAAGTCCAGCGCAGAAATTTGGCATGGTCGAAGCTTACGCTTAGTTGTTTATAAATAAGCATCCTTTTCCTTTAGCCTTACACAGCAGAAGCAGCTGCGGCAGCTGCAGCGGCATATTCATCGGCTGTGGGCATGTCTGTGTTTTAAATTTGTCACCACATATGGATCTTTTCCATTTTTCAAATTATTCCTTTTTTTTTTCAACAAAAAATAAAAAATCATTTCATTTCAAATTCATTTTCTAAATTATTACAAATTTAGTCTATAGATTTAAATATTTTAGTCTTATTTTACGAGCATGACGTGATAGATAAATAACAAAAAAAATTTATTACTCGATAAGACCGGTGTCTTATCTACTAGGCTATATTCAAATTTGTTAATGTACGGGATTAAAAAAAAGACCGTACAAATTTGTGAAATTATTTATTACTATGAATGATGTCATTTTAGAGTTTTATAAAAAAAAAAATGGTCAAATTATTTAAAAAATATTGAGACAGAGATAAAATAAAATGTATGGATCAAAATAAATTAATGATATTTAAATCTTTATTTTATATTATTTTAGAGGAATTTTTTATTTATTTTTCTTTTGATATTTGGGCTGAATTGTTGAACAAGGGAATGGGCTTTTAAAAACATAAATCTATGAGAATAATTAGGTGAAAGATAGGCCTTCGAATATATATATATATATATATATATATATATATATATATATATATATTTGTCGTTATATTGAAGCTTAGAAGTCAAGGTAGCTATTGGACTCGAGTCAAAACGCAACTTAACTAAGAGAGCCATTTCATTTAGGGCGAGCCCGTGTGGTTATGGGGGTAGGCACGAGTGATTTGGTGTCTAAGCCAACTGGTCAGACGATGACGACTGAACTTATTAGATTAGTATTAGCAGGCTCTGAATATCATGAACTTGTCTAAGTCAATCTCTGAATATCATGAACTGGTCGTTGTTGACGAACCTAGTTCTTTGTTTTCAAGTCAAGCTCCATATCTCCCTTATCGATGAATCAAATCACTTGAAAGAAAGTAAATTCGAGAGAAATTTATAGCGTGAATGAGGAATCACGACAACGTTCATATCTAACACATAATTAAATGGATAAACATCGAGAAATAGAAAAATTATGTATATATATATATATATATATATATATATGATAATATAAAGTAACATATTCCAAACACTATATATTAAAAAACAAAGAATTATGAATATAAATGCTTTACAAGTACTTAAAACCACAAAAAGCTAAATGTTTATTTGTATATTCATTCAATGGCCATCTTTTTGGCTCATCCACAAGAACCCCATTTTCTATGTTCCTTAAAAATCGTGCAATTCCTTTTAGACTGCACCCGTTATTCATACCTGGATGCACCTTTTCTTAAAGTAAAATCTAGACATGAATGAATCGAGACTACATCTGAATAAAAATGATCTTGACGATATCGTGAGTGAGAAATATTCAAAAGAATCAATAGTTATCGTTGTTATCCGACCAACCATCAAAAGAAGCAAATACAACAGCACCCTTATCAGTAAAATTGCCATTGATAATGTTCGGTGAACTCCCTCGTTACCATACGTGAGACTCTCACTGCATACGGCTCACAACCTAATCATGTTGTAGAGAAATGTCGAGACCATCAAATACTGAATTCTCGACATGGGGTGTTATAATTTCACATCAAATTTTTCAACTCCCGATAATTGACGTGTCGGGACGTGGAGAAGGATGATTTCGCGTTGATGGGTTGGCCTACATGTCTGATATTTGGGTTGCAAATGCCCTAGATTTGAGTTTTCAAATCAAAAATCATTTTTTTTTAATATTAAAATTTAATGATTGTGTAATACACAATTTTCTTTCACAAATGTGGCCTTTTGAGCTTTCCACCAATGTCTGCTCTTTGTTCAGCAGCTGCTTCACAAAATCCAATGCCCTTTCTATCTCTTCTATCTTTATAAACTTTAGGTCGATGTAGTTTATTAATTATTATTCGATTCGATATCTTTGTTTAAGATCGTTTTAATATCAAATAACGTTAATTCTTCGTTAACTTTTTAGATTGTCATTTCAGTTATCTAACGCGTTCTTGATATGATTATTCGAGTTCGGTCTTGAAAAGATTGAAACGCGGGGACATCACATTAGAAGATTAGAGTGGAGTCTAATCGTTAAAAGACAAATTTGAATTAGGTGTTAACTCAATTTTCAACATCGATACTCGATTGTAGTTGAGTTTATGTCACGTGACGTGTTAGGACCCTTTTGTAAAGAGGTTTTCGAGACATGATTCTTTTTTATATTATGACCAATACTTTCGTCTTATTAAAAACATTCAATGAATTCTAGAAACAGGGATAATGTAACGACCCAAGTTTACTACTAGTAGATATTGTCCGTTGTAGCTCGTTACGTATCATTGTCAGACTCACGAATTTAAAACGCGTCTATTAGGGAGAAGAATTCACATTCTTGTAAGGAATACTTAGGACTCTTCTCTAACGGATGTGTGATCTCAAAACCCACTTCTCCAATCGGGCCAAAGCGGACAATATCTACTAACGGTGGCTTAAACTATTACAAATGATATTAGAGTCAGACACCGAGCATTGTGCCAGTGATGACGCTGGCCCCCAAAGGAGGTGGATAGTGAGATCCCACATCAGTTGGAGAAGGAACGAAACATTTCTTATAAGCGTGTACAAACCTACCATGAGGCTGAGGCGATACGTAACGGGTGAAAGTGTACAATATTTGCTAGTGATGGATTTTGAGCTGTTACATTTAACGAGCGTTTGAGATGTTTTTAACTAAAGAAAAGAAAAAAAAGACAACCCGAGAAAGAAAAAAAAAAAAGAAAACCCTGAATCTAAATCGAGCAAAAACAAACTTCTACGATCATATCACGATGAAAATATACACTTTTATCGAGTGAAATGGCAAACAAAGACACTAAAGATGTCACCCACTAAAGCCATATAAACAAGCCAATGATAGCAACAACAAGAAAGGAGTTGAAACTAAAGAGGGTTTATAGGCTTTTTAGGGTTCAAACACTCATTTGTGGAGCAGTTCTTAAGAGATATGGTTGCAATGGGAAGAGAGAGGCCCCTCATGTTCTCCATTATCTCCAAGATTCCATTGCTTTGGATTTGACTAACTCTTTAAACTACACCATGCCTTTCATTTCATCCCTTTATTGCTACGTTTTCGACACAGTAAGTTCGAAAGCTTGATCGATAATACTCGTTTAAGTTTCTTATAATTATGAAACAAGTTCCGTTAACTGTTCTCTAATAGTCGTTTTTTTTTCTTTAGTTGATTGTTGGTACCTTTTCACATAACTTAATCATCTTATGATTGCCGTTATACATACCTAACAACTAGTTATCGATATTTTCATATAATAATTAATAACTTATTTTCTTAATAATTAATAACTATTGAAGACTTTACAAAAAAATTTGTTCAAATTTAACATCTTTTTGGTCGGTGTCTCATAAATTATATTTAAACTTTTTATTATTTTTTAAACTTTTATGAGTATTTTTTTAATTTGATATTGATAATAAAAATAATTTGATAAAATTCATATAAATTTTATTTTTATTTTTCGTCGGTATAATAATATTTTATTTCTTCATAAAAAAAAAGAAGTGTTTTATTTTTAATTCTATTGATATTTTCACTTAAAAATATTTCAATATCATTAGAATGTGGTACTATATTCATTAAAAATTGTATTATACTAAGATTCTAAATATATTCCCATGAGATTATACTAAGACTAAAATAAGGAGAACGTTCAATATATTTCGATAATTTTTTAAAAAATGTTCAAATTTAATAGATATTCGTTTTACTGATGTTTTGATTTATATAAAAGAAAATTAATATTTTTATGAGGTGAATTATGTTCGGATTGATTTAAATCTCGGCTAATATTTATATTTATATTAAGAATATGAAAGAAAATATAATAAAATTAAACATTGATATAAAGTAAAAAAAAAACATATTTATACAGTTGAAATAAATAAAAACTTTTCAAACCAAAATTAAGGGGGGGATCTTAATCGGACGGCTAGGATTCAAAAGCGGAAGATCGGGGGAGAAACCGGGAACCTGGCAGAGAAAACAGAGTCCCAAATCTCAGCAAAAGCCCTAATTATAATTTCATGGTGAGAAGGGGAATTCAACTGCAAGAAACAGCGAAGGAGCCCTCGTAAGTCATCCTTCGAGTATATCTCGTTCTCCAGAATCATCTGAACCATTGAATGCCGGAAATCGAGGTACGGATCGTCCGAATCCTTCTCGACGGCGACGCTCTCGCCGCCGGACTTTCCGAAGCCACGGAAGGTGATGGAGGCTCTGGTATCGGAGTCAGAGTCGGAGAAAGGCGGCGAATCGGAGTCGGAGGAGAAGCAATGATTGGGGGATTTGGAGGAGGACTTTGGTTTGAGATGGTGGAAGAGGTGAGAGAGTTTTGGTCTGCAAATGTTGAGATCGACGGAGAGGGAGGTGAGTTGGAGATTTCTCCGGCGAGCCGCCATTGTTGAAGTTGGAGAGCTGTCTGTAAGAAGAAGAAGAGAGTTTTGGGAATGAGTTTTGGCAAAACCGTTTGCGGGAATTTATATTTGGACAGTCGCTGTCCTTCGGATTTGATGGCAGTTCGCAAAACTTTTATTATTTTT